CCACAACTATTAGCAAGAAACCAAAAGGGACATCTTTTTCCCAACTTTCCACCTCCGGTGACTTCCCATTTTCCTGGGAAACAACTACCAGGTGCAACTAACATATTATGCTAATTTAGCTCATAAAATACCCAAATAACCAACAACACACAAGCCAATCAAAACCCAACACATGCCAAAGAGACGCTAATCCTTCAAGTCGAAGAGCTTGGCCTCATCCTACATAAGTCAAAACCCGCAAATACATGGGATCATGAAAGCTTCTTCAGTGTTCTCATCTTTGTTTTTGGGGTGTTTGTTTTCAGGTACGGGGTTGGCTAGAAACAGGATCACGCACACAAGTACTAGAGTCCTTGTTTTTCAAAGAAAGGTTTGCGAATTGGGAATCAAGTCTATCGCGGATGCTGGTTTGCCGGTGGGTTAATGGTGGCTGCTGCTGCGGTTGTGGTTGTTGTTGTTGTTGTTGTTGCTGATACAAGGCTCGGAGTCTCCCGATTTCTCTCTCCAAAACTTCATGCTCCACTAAGAAAATAACTGATTTAGTTTCCACATGATATAATTCTACAGTAAAAACATTGGATTGACAAGATAACAATAAAAGATTACTCTTCTAGCTCATAAAACATGTGACCAAAAGCTATTTCTAAGTTATAACGGAGACAATTTGACAGGCTTTTACATCTGACGTTTTTTTCACAAACCAAAGGGAAAAACATTTTTACAAGATAACAGAGAAGAAACGAATAATGGGTGTCTTATATGCTACTAATGTTTGGAATAGGATGGAGATCCAAAGCAACGTTCTTAGCATGCTATACGTAACCAAAGGGTCATTGGCCCAACGGTACCTGGGTTACCAGTAGAACCCAACCTCCCAAGAGGTCATGGATTCAAACCCCCACCAAAGGCGAGGAATGTGCACAAGTATTTGCCGTATATAAATATCATATACTTAAAAAAAGGCTATAGCAAGGGCTATGAGAGCAGACTAGTAACAAAAGAAACAACACAACATTATATCTATCCCATAACCTTCATCCAAAGGTATTCCTCCCAGGTTATAGTTCTGCAGTATGACCTGGCCTAGTCGTGTGTGTCAATAAACATGATATTTATCCAAAAAATATGCATCATAGTACTTCCTGTATTTAAAATTTTCTATCATTAGAACGCTCAGCACCAAGTCTAGTTTGACATTGTGTTATGTGGGCAAAACATGTTTTTGCATTTGGAGTTAGTACCTATGGGAATTCGGTGCTTGACAATAAGCAAATTTATTAAAGCCTTATAGCACAGATTTTATATTTTGGAGAAGCAGAAAGTCTGACTTCAAGAAAAATCAATTTAACATTGGAAAACTAGGCCTAAGGTATGAGAAAAGGGCTTAATATTGATATTAATTTATGTTTGCTAGCATGTATTCACCAAAGGAGGGAGATGAAACAGCCAGATTAGTGAGATGATAATGTTCATTTGCATGTTAGTAGATCTGCTGTTCAACCAGGTGTAATATATGGTGAATAGGGTCTTTGTTTGAATAGAGATGGATTTGGTGGTTTTGTTAAAGTAGGTATGTTGTTCTTGAGTTGCTTTCTTTTTCCCGGGATAGGAGTAGGTTTCTCAATCTTTAATTAGTCGTACAGTTTCCAAGGTTACTTTGAAAGTTCACAAACTTTTGGGTGTGCCACATTGATATGGTTCTGTAATGTGTGATGCAATATCTCCTTTCGTGTGATAACTTAAGTTTATCTGCCATTTACACTACCAATCAGCCCTAACACCCACCCCCACACAAATACACCATCAGAGAAGAAAATGAGATCAAGAAAGGAGATGATAGATCGATATGAATCAAGGTAAGGAAGTAGAGATCAAGATTAGCCAAAAAGGAAGAAAAGGAAGATTGACGGCCAATAACAGTGATGGTGATGTGATGTTGGTGGTTATGGGTAAACAGGGCAAAACGTATCTAGCAAGGAGGGTGTGAGCATGCATACCAACCAAAAAAGCATTAGTTTTAAGTTTTTGTTCTGTAAAAAATTACTAGCTGCATGCCTGTAAAACTTTGTTATGACAATGCAACACCAATTTGGAATTCCTGGATCCACCATTGTGGTAAATGGTACTCTAGTGTCAAATCCGAGTTCTTATACCCAGATGTGCCACACAGATGCCATGTGGATGAGCAATTGGGCCTACCAAGAATTTTTTTCCAAGGCTCAAGAACATCCTAGAAGACCCCATAGCATTCGGCATGATGTTCTAGATTTCTCTTGTATCATGTAGGGTGTTCACGATGCTTGTAGTAGTGTTGGATTCATGAGACAGAACCTAGAAGGCTCCTTGGTCTAGATTGGTCTCAAGGGGATATCCTCACTTGTAATTATCGAGTGATGGCATGAGTTGTATGAGAGAAATCACGAAGAATACAACACAAAGACATTCCTCAAACTCTTTTAAGCGTTCTCGATAGCTTGTTATCTAGAGTTCCCTTATGATGCGTTTGGTACATGGGACGGGAAAGAACAAAAACTTGTCCCATGTTTGTTTGACATTAGACTGGGACAGGACTAGAGTGGGACAATGCACTATCTTTGTCCCACTTAAATAGATGGGAAAAAATTAGAGGGATGGACAAATTTGGTAAATTACTAAACTACCCATGTCAAATTAAAATCCTAAAACCTTACATGGTACTTTCTGTAATGACACACTAATATTTGTGCTAGTCAGGCCTCTTTGCATGGTACACACAAATATTCGTGTGTCATTGCAGAAAGTACCATACAAAGATAACTGGGTGGTAAAAAGGATTTTCTTTGAATAGATAAGAGTTGATTTTCTCAACTAGATATAATTAAAAGTCTAATCAAAAGCATGAAATAGTAAGCAATAGAATTGTTTTACACTAAGCACTTCCCTATATTCATTTTTAATGCAGCCGAATGCAAGTAGAGACGTTGCAGAGTAGTCTAAGCATCTAGAAAAACATATCATCCATACTAGAAGAGTAATTTAATCCAGATGAATAAAGCTTGTTCATTTAAGTCACTAGGTCAATATTATGTGAGAAATAATATGAAAGCAAATAGTTCATATATCTACTATATCCCAAAATTGATATTATGAAAGAGAACATGTAAGTGCAAAAACATAACCTCAACAATATCCTTGATTCCTGTTGACTTATATATACAACTTCTAATTTTTCCTAGTTGTCCCAGAAACTTTTTCATTCATCGTGACTTGTTTAGCTATCCTCCTGTGCCTCATTTTCTCAGGGCAAGAAATCATAAATTTCTGTCAGTTCGTCAGTGAAAGACAGTTTGATTCATCAGCTTATCTAACACATGGCATTATTCCTACCTGATGCTGGCTAGTGGAAAATATTCCAAACTCACATTCTACACTTAAGCCTAGTCGTAGAAGTAGGGACAAGTTGCAAAGGACAAACCAAACCAGTAACTGATGTGTATAGAAACTTACAACACTTGATGAGTTGCTCCTGAGCCAAATTATCCAAACGCTGTTTCAGTGCCTTGTTCTCCATGCTCAGAATAAGGCTTTGCTGGTTCAGAAACTCCAGCTCAGCTGAAACCTCAGAACCTTCTGCCTGAAATTAGAGCAGATGTAACACGACAAGAAACCACAAAAGTTTTTCTAAAATTCTAATCTACCTGTAAAGCTTGCACATTTCTCTCTAGCTCGGCAATATACTGAAGCTTCCGCACCCGGGAACGTTGAGCAAATTGCCTGTATTAGACAGCTATCAGATTTCTAAAATGCAGAACAGTTATAAAATTTTATGATGTTAATAAATCCATATAATACCACACAACTTATTTTTACTTTATCACTTGTCAATTTAAATAAAAAATTAACAGCTGATATTTCCAAACCATATAAGAGTTGCTTGACTATCAAAGTTTCTGACATGTCAGGTTATCATTTCACTCTTCCAATTTGTGGATCTTAATCCATAATAGAATTGGAATCTTTTACAGAAAACAGCAATAAAAATTTGTTAAGTTCAGAAATATCACAAAACCAAGGAGCCATCGCTCGTAGATGAGGTAAATATTTGTCTCACCAACACCAGAAAATGGGTATCATCAACAATGTCATCCTTTATAGAGGGCTCATATTTAGTAAGTAAAAAGAGATCTACAAAAAAAATGAATAATCAATCTGTCACCTAGTAATCATAAGGTGATGCGACTGTATTTTGTACCCTGAAAGATTTCAACTCTAAGAGACTTTTGAAAACACACTGGACTACAACAGATCAAAATAAGAAAAAGAAATAGTGACTTCATAACTTCCTGTACATGTATGAAGAATCTGCTTGTAACTCCCCTAAAACTGCTAACTAAGTTTTTGATCAGACACTCAAAGAACCTGCAATTGAGAAAACTTCAAAGACACAGTTTATCTAATAACTCTGTGAACTTACTTGGTTTATCCTACAAAGTGGTGAAACTAAGTTTAAACAAACATTAAGAACATAATGTGCAAAGAAATATAGGTTGGGAGGCGGGAAAACAAAAGAAGAATGAAACACATCATATATGTGTTGACAGCTTCGACGAAGAAACTTAATACAGGACAAGGGGAATAATTAACAAGCGAGTAGTGGGGTCCTAGTGCAAGTGAAAAAAAGAAGTACAATGCCTCACAAAGCTATTTTTCATATTTGCCTTTGGTCTCGAAGAGTAAAATTTCAAAACTCATCTAAAAAAGCAGCAACACCTAATGCCTCATGTTTTGTGCTCAATGTCAATCAACGTAGGTAGCACACACATGCCTTCTATTGAATATCTAAATATTTTTAAATGACAATTGTGACTGGAAGGTCAGAGTTGGAGTCAAAGAAATAGTCTATATACAAAAATGAAAAAGGAATCCACGCTGTTTAGGGACATACATAGATGCTGTCGAATAGCCAATCGATAAAGCTAATAGTAACACTGAATGTAACAGAAAACACAAGATCTATTGAAGTGATTCCCCTTCCAACTTCATCCTATCTCTCCAATTCAATGTCTTACACCAGTTTTCGTTTCAATAGTTATTTTGAAAAACTTTCCTATGTTCAAAATTCAAAATAAATGGTCTTACAAAATTGCAGGAATGTAGATAGATTTAACCGTGATTGATGTGGTGGGGGGGAAGAAAAAGAACAGAAGAGAATCCTTACTGCTTGGCACGTTTTGTATCTGTTTCTGATGCAAAAGGCTTAGTATTAGAAGAATCCTTTCTTTCAGAAGTGTTTATATCTTGAGGCCCAGTTTCAGCTGAATCTTGTGGCCCAGCTTCCGCTGCATCTTGCTTTTCATTTGTTGTTGAAGCAATTCCATTGAGCTGCTGTGAAGCACCTAAGGATACTGTCCTTCGTAGACCAGAGTTGTGGCGAGAGGAAGCTGTACCAGTAGAATGTGAATTTTGTGGTGAATCCCATGTTCGAGTCTTATTGTTTATCACAGGATTTGGCTCAGCATAGAATGACATATTTTGAGCATCTTTATAGAAATCAAAGTCTTGAGATGCCCATGAAGGAGCAGAAGTCAAATTCCTCATCCAGTGCTCATTTTTCACAGCATATTCTGTATTTGCAGCATTAGCCGCCTCCAAAAATGTAAAAGAGTCGCTTGATGAGCGGCGATGGCCTCTTTGTTCAGGTGTTTCTGGCTCGTTAAGAAGTTCATCCAGCCAGGAGGGCTGCTCTTCAACCAGAAGGCTTTCAGAGGAAGCACGTTGATGGTGTGGATTCCCATCTCTATAGTTAGGTGTTCCTTTAGGTCCAATTGCAGCACTTGAGATATAATCAGAATATGATGGAGCAATGCTTGGAAATGGACACTTAGGGGGAAGTAGAGAGTGCCTTCCATTGTACATCATATTTCTCGTTGTTGACGGCCCTCTAGAGTTTGCCATGGCCAAACCATAAACCCTACCAAAGACAAAAAGCAAAACCATATTACACAACAAATAGATGTAGACAAAAGTACTCTTCATACTATTGCTATGACTATAAACATACAGAGACAGGTTAGAAATTCAAGTGAATGCTATCTAAAAATCCACAGAAAAACTATGTTTCATCATATATGCTTTCCCAAGTACTTTAGAAAAAAGAAGATGAATCAACATAAGATAAAGCTGCAAACAAAGCTTCAAAAGTTGAGTTCCACCATGAGGTGGTTATGTGCTCAATCTGGTCATGCATGACAAGGCCTGATGCAACTTCAACGTGTGCCAGCCTGGTCTAAACACATTGCTGCCTGCCTAGAATCAAATACACAAATTTGATTTTACAACTTACAAACCAAACCCAAATGATATACCGCTCGAAAGCAGGGTGGGATGTAGGCAGACCTAACTTCAAGCCTATACAACTGAAAAACCAATCTTTACAAGTTCCTCACTTATTCTGTCTTATCCATGCTCTTTTCCTTAAAATGCCATTATGTTGGCAGCAAATAGGAAGGCCAAATTTTCTAAAATTGGAACAATAAGGAAAAACTTGATCATGCTGGGAAGTGAGGCTGTGTATCTGTCAGGCTGCTTGGTTTAACCTATCGCTAATGCACCAACACCAAATAATCCTCAAGGAGTATTCATTCCTTGTATCTCATGTGTGGGGACTTGAGATAACACATAGACTTCTGGACAAATATAAAAGCCCACAGATCCAGTTGTTCTCGAATAGACCTTAGAAGCACCATACCGAGTTACCAATAAGTCGGTTAGCAAGGTATTTTGGAACATTGGCTAGTCCCACGGTCCCACCACCAAAAAGGGCCTTCCTAATAAACCCATCATCATAATACAGCACAATAATTTTCACATTATTGATTTAATTCTTGATAATTGTGCTATTTCAATCATGTTTGTGAATGAAGAAACAAATTTATAGAACATTTACAACCACCAAATTTAACTGCTACCACTCACTACTAAACCTAATAACTTAATACCACCTGCCGAACACTTGGCTAATGATACGATCACGAGCAGGTTCCAGATTTCACACTCAATCAAACGCCAACACCAATACAAAAATCACAAGCAATCAAAGAACAAAAAGTGAATTCGAACTTATCTATGATCATATGATTCATCCTCTCCTGGCAATTAATCTTACCCCCAAGCTGTGGCCTTCTCCCCCGATAACGAAACAAAACTGTCTAAAACCTCAAATAACAATGACTTCTTCTTTGTTTACAATTTGTCAAAGCCAAATGATTTGCAAGCTCGAACCAAGCAAGAAACAAACGAAGCCTTAAATTGAGTTTTACCTTTATATTACGCAGTGATTCACAGGAGAAACATAGATTGTGGATGGAATAGAATGGAAGTTCAGGTTGTTCTTGCTGATCCTAATTTTCCATTATTAGGGTTTTCTTGATCTTGGAGAGGAAGGCTTTTTGCCCCCTTTTTTTGTGCTGTGCTGTCTTTCGAATCTTTTCGTTTGTCGTTGACGTTGCTTGGGTTGTTGGTTGATGAATAAGGCTCCACTTTTCTAGGCCCAAACGGATGCTTTTTGGGACCGATGCATTTTATTTTAAAGAAAATTGCATTTTTCATCCTTGTAGTTTGTTATAAGTTTCTATTTTAGTCCTCTTGGTTTTAAAATTATGGTTTTTGTCTCCATGGTTGTCAATTCTATTTGTTTTTTATTCTTAGTACTGACTCCGTTAAAAAGAGTCCGTTAAGTGAGTTGTACCTCTTCTTCATCTACCTCGATCATAAACTTATCCTTCAACCTATGGTTGACCACCACTGGCACCCTCAAAGCAAATCGACCTAGATATGAAAAACCCACTTCCAAGATCACTAATCCATGCGGTACCGTTCCCTTGGAAATTTAGTTTACCGACATTGATCTCTCAGAGCAAACCCACTTAGACCTGAAGCTCATTTCTCTGTTTATTGCTATGATAATGTACTCTTCGGAAGGATGGCGATAATAGGTTGGAGAGAGAAACATGTAAGTTTACATAGAAAAATAAATAGATAGAAGCTAGTGGTCTGCTTTTGGATAAGGTGTCATATTCCATAATTAATATATGTAACTGAATTTCTTTATGATTTTAAGAATTGGGTTTTGTAGGAAGAGAGAATCAAGATGGATCATGGTAGAATTCAAGCACATAATTCGCATGGACATTGTGTGTGTGTGTGTGTGTGTGTATTTCTTGGTCATGGTGGATGTATCAGTAGGAGCTTGTAGTTGGGAAATAAATGTTTTTTGTTCTTTTGTTCTTTTGTTCTTGTGATTCTTCTTTTTTCAATATCTTTTCAAAATCTTTTGTTTGAAGTATACAAGTCTATAGTAAATAAGAAATCTGTAAATGACGAAGAATAGTATTGTGATGGTTCTTTTAGTTTTTTAGTTGAACACAAGGTTGCCGAAGGAGAAGGGGGAGGGGCGAAAATGGAGGCTATGATGAAGGRGTAGTCGGAGATGGAGCATATGAAGATAGAGATGAGTTTACCAGAGCTTGGGTATTGTTGTCAGAGGTGTAGGAGGTCAACTGGGAGGTGAAGGGGGAAGGGATTACTTGTTCAGTTTATGCAACCTCGGATTTCAATAGAAAGATGACATAACACTTCYGYCACAGTTATATAATACCACATGATGATGTTATAGAATTGTCACGGTATCAACAATCGGATCAGACGACCTCTCAAGAGCACACACAGGTCAACGTGGTATCGATACATTATTATTTATATTAGAYGTCGTGAATCCTAGCACATCACAGTGTTACCATCCTRCACCGTAGGAGTATAGYACTTGTCATATACTAAAGGTCTATAGYCTTCTCCTATCACCTCAGGTTTTCTTATATATCTTAATTCTGAAAGTTAATGCATTTTCATACAGAAAATTAGTTGTTAATTAATTCAATGTAATCTTCWRTGAAATATTAATCACCTGAAACAAATAGTTAGACAATAATGTTAACAAGACACYTCTGTACTTTCACATCGGCTTTGRTCTTAATTTTTCCKTACACCCCAAGTTAAGACATTTAGTCCATCATTACTCGGTTTCTTYTTGCGAAGGATGTAAAKAATGAAAAATAAATAATTACTCAGTAAATTATAGAAAATAAATTGCGAGAATGTAAAAGACTGTAAATTAAAGTGCATAAATATAAATGACTAAAATATAAATGGTTGAAATGTAAATTACAGAAAAGTAAAGTACAGAAAAATAAATTGCAGTAATTAAAATACTGAAAATTAAATACTAAAAATTAAATTRCAGAAAAGTAAAATGCAAGGAAATATCAAGTACTATAAAAGAAATGACATAAAATAAAATAAAGAAACTTGCACTCCAAGTCACAAAACTTGCAAAACAAGTTTTGTCACTAAAAGTGAGAAAATACTTGTAAACATTTGGAAAACGTATTTTTAGCTAARAAAATTAATCRTGAGCCACAAAKGATGAAATCCAATGTATTGCAACAGTGATCGATTAATTCCAACTTATAACAGAAATTAGAAAGCTTTTGAGAATTGAAAGTAAACAAGAAGGAGATGAAATTTGGAATACTAGACCTTTGGATTAATCTTGAGAACAAACTAGCAATTTTACTTCAACGATTTAGGTTCTTGTTAATCTTGAGAACAAACTAGCATTTTACTTCAATGATTTAGGTTCTTGTTAAGCAAGAAAGCCTAAAGCTAGACAAAAAATGGAAAGCAATATTAAACCCAAAGGCTAATTGTATCTTTTTAAGCTAGTAACAATTCTTATTTATAATAAGGACAAGACTTATGAAAGAAGATAKGTCATTAGTACAAAAGAGAAGCTTAAACTATAAATTAGCCCATASCCTATGTCTAAAATCTGCAGCTAAATTCATAAGCCCAAAGTTTCGGCCCAAAAATAAGGATGCAGACCACTCCACACTCCTATAGGAATGCTATAGCACCACTCCAGCAAAAGAATCATGTAGGACTGCTACAAAACTCACCAGAAACTTCAAAAATCTGCATAAAAAACAATAACATAAGATTATGACACAATACTACTAATTTATATAAAAGTAAGAAATTACATAAAATGACTAAAATGACTCAATTTAGACACTAATGGGCAAATAAAACAAAGGAAAGTGATTAAGAAAATGATGTAATAAGGTTAATAAATTAACACCTATCAAAGATGCCCGTAAATTTCTCTTTATTGTGTACAATTATAATGATGATAATAATAAGAATAAGAATAAGAATAAGAATAATAATAATAATAATAATAATAATAATAATAATAATAATAATAATAATAATAATAATAATAATAATAATAATAATATGTGATTTAATCAAAATAAGGAATTTTTTTAGAAGTAAAAAAGACCAATATATCTTTCATTTAACATATTTTTAATAGAATTAGTGCAACKGATAATTMTGGATGAYCATCCTGTATTGCTGAATAGAGCACGGATAACTGCTGAAAGCATCTAATAGTAAGCCCACCCCAAGATAAGTGTTGAAAAATTGAAACCCTTCTTATTGGTRAATCTTTTAGATAAACCRGAGAGGATGAACAATAAAAATTATAATATCGAAACCACAAGGACGAAAGTAGCAATTCAAAAAATCACAAGAACAAAAAGGGTAGTTGTAACATCTGAAAATCTTTAAKTAACGTTAATTGGGATTTCGGTTTGTTTTGCAGCTTAGAATTATCATTTATTAAGCTTWTTTAATAAATTSTTGTGGTTATAAATTTTATATGCAAACAAAACTAAGAAAATAAGGTTTGGTATGAAATTGGGCGACTTGGCTGCGACCTAGGGTTRTGGCCAAGGTCRCGTAAAGCACTGTTGGGGMACGAGCAAACAKTGATTGATGAGGCCAAGTGTACRGATTATGCCGTCGAGCATGTTGCATGAACCTCGATCCAAGTGAAGAGATTTCACGAATGTGGTCGGTGTGGAGGAATATTACCCTCAAAAGACTATAATAACAAGTAAATCATGCAAGCATACATGGCTTATAAGTATTGTCCAAAACAAGTAATAATGGTAAGTAATACCAAATATTGTTCCACATAGATTTAATATGTAAAGAGAGTCAGAAAAGTTAACTTTAAATTTCAGAAAAGGGTTTTTGGAAGCAATAAAGCTTCAGAGAGAAAATATATTTGCAAGAGTTGGTAACCAAATACTGAAATGTAACAATAATTAAAAAATAGTATGGATGACAAATCAAGTTAGATTTCAGCAACGCAAGTGTAACGAATATTGCTCTATAAATAGCTYTTTACAACACTACTGGATTGAACGACCTTCCAAGGAAGTGCATATTAGACCATATATTGGAAGTGCACTTGGTACATAAATTCCAAACTAGTACAGATCTTGCTTTTCTTTCCATATAGTTTTGCAATTCATAAGATTACGGTATTTATAACCTCTGTAACACAATTAGTAAAAATATTTGTGTTGTTTTAATTCTAAGTCCAACTCATCTGAATAAAATAACATATGTCAATTTGTCAAATTAAAGATTACCAAATGAAATATTAATACCACTTGTAAATAGCGAAATAAATTGTTATTAACAAGCAAACATCAACTAACACTTGGCGTAATCTCACAACCTTCACTTACATCCATATTAAGATACTTAGCCTAACATGACTGAATGTAAGTGTTTAAAAGTAAATGACATAGATGAAAATGACTGAATGTAAATGACGTAAAAGTAAATTATACGCGAAAAGTAAAGAGAAAGCTAGAAAGGTTGTTGTAACAACTGAYAGTGACGAAGAACACTTAAAAATACTTGCAAAATGATATAAAAAGGTAACAAGAACCCAAAGCTTAGATGAAGCTTTGATCCTGATGACAAAGTGATATTGTTCAAAGTGTTACAATTGTTCAAAAGATTACCCCCACATATATACTAGCAAGAGGGAATCAAAAGTATTGGTGGGTAATATCCATTGGTTATTAACCAACGGGTAAAAGAAAAGATTCATTAGTWYAAAACTTTAAGGTATCTTTGTAGTGACATCTTCCATCTAAATCGTCTGCTATCAGTAYTAGAATATGTCTTTCTCCAAAACTTGACTTTTCACATTATTCAACGGGATTGAGCCAACTGTGCCAATATCTAAWGTCCAGTGTTACARCAACGTATACACCTGCTACAACAATGCTTATGTTAGCATTTCCTCCACCAAATATATAAAAYAGYACCATTCTCGCATCCCTAACTCCAATGAATGTGAAACCATAAAATAAGACTAAAAGACTCAATATAGSACGTAAAATGAAGTTAAAYAAAGTTATAAYTAGGTGCTAAAGTGTATGYTTTTGCACACTTATCAATGGTCGYGGGATTGCTACAAGTCGATTTATATGGCATATGGGTTTTTGGTTAAGTTGTAAGTTATTTCTTYCATATCTTTCTATACGATTTTAAGTCAAAATTAGGAGCTAAARAACCATTTTTAAGAGTTATTAAAG